CCTATACTGTGGCTTTTTTGCCACACACCATGAAGCGATGCCTTTTCTTCTTGCTCGAGTACCTCTCTTCTTTTTAGGTTTCTATTTCCCTTATTTTTCTAGCTAGTACGTGTTTAGGGTTATAGAGCTACTGTCTGTGGGTAGGAACTTATTTCTCTGGACCACTATGTACATATATTAACTATATCTATCGCTCGTATTCACTAATTGTATAGTTTAATGATAAGATTCATATCATGTGCATAAGATATTAGAGTGAAATTATACATTTGATACATCGTAAAAGATAAATATATAATTCTATACTGTTGATAACTGAAAGTACAAATCATTTTAGTTTAGTGTTAAAACTTAAAACTTGACATAAAAGACATCTATCATTTCAAAGAGACTCGGAGGACAATCCAGTTGCGAATTCAAGCAGGTCTCTCACTAGTTTTTTCGGGTACGAATTTTGAATATATTTTATCATTGAACTTCACCATCTTTTCTTTTCTTACATCCAACACTGCTTAACCAAAAAGCACGTTCAACCAAATAGCGTAACCTAAAAGCATTGGCGACCAAAATAAACACATCCACTAGTTGCATATACACGGTGGAGTGATAAGTCATAAAAAATAATAGTCGCATAATTATATATATATACAACCAAGGGTGGTAAAAACGAATCACTCAGAAAAAGCAACGGAGAATGGGTTAGGGAATTGTATATGCTCTCATGGATGGGTGAGGTACATGCAAAAGGTGAAGGGCGTGAAAGTGAAATGCCAGTTTGAGTTGTTTTACCAAACAGGTGGTGGAACGAATGCATGAAATCGCATATTTCACAGAATAAAGATGGCTAAGAAGACAAATTAGTCGTAATCTCCTATCTCGTGCGTGTGGGACTGGGGGCTACATAAGTTTGTTTCGGTTTCTGATCCAAGAAGCAAAGCTTTTTTTATATGATATGGTTGTCCGCCCATCCCTTTCCTACCAGCAAATTATTCACCTAGAAATCAACTCCCTTCAGGCTTCAATTATTTGAACTTTTACCAACTAGGGTTTTTAGTTTTTACCTTTTCACAATAGTATAAAGAAAGACATCACGTATCATTATATAAGTGTATTGAAATTTTTATTTTTTAAGTTGTTTGTTAATTTTTTAACACAAATATCTCACCAGTTGTGTAGTAACATGTAGTGTACTACTCCGTATTTTGAATACATTGAAAAAACTCTCCTTCTATTGATGGTTATCAAAATAGGCTCATAACTCAAACTGAAAAATGGTATAGAACGCATCCAATCGACAATTGTTTGGCTTTCTCCATCAGCGATTATTAGTCATCAATATTTTTGTGAACAACTGACACTAGTATTATTCTTAAGTGTATTATGTCAAAAATAAGCTTTCTTATTGCATGGTTGATAAGACGTTGCAACTTTACCGTGCAATAAAAAATCTTGAACTAAGAACCCGATTATAGGACATTGCTTTTGCTCTAAAGCTCCCCTTTTCTAAAAAGAAGGAAAGTAAAGTGTCACCCCTAAACAGTTTATCTTAAACTTATTTATTGGCACTCGGCTGAAAAAGGTTTCATTGCAATTGCAGTTATATAGTATGGAGTGCCCTTCCTTTGTGGGCTTTACTTTAGACTTAGGTTCGAACCTCAGCTCACTACAACCCACCAAAACTTCTGTTCAAGTCTGGCTCTTTGCAGTTAAACTAAGGGAAGCCTTGGCCCATTATTATAAACAAGATGGCCTGCCCATAAAGAAGTTCAAGTTTAGCTCTTTGCAGTTAAACTGCAAATTAAATTTTCATCCCACACTCAGATTGAATAATTTAAACATGTGACTGAATAAAGCAAAGGGAAATAATGAACATGATTAAGCATAGATGTGTAGAATGTTGGATAAATATCAACAATGAATGATAAATTTATATATGCTAATAAATAATAAATGCGAATAAATAATTTGACAAAACAAAACAAAGTAATATTAAACAGACAAACTGAAGATCGAGATTCCAGCACTAGGATTCAACGATCTAAGTCGAGATTTCAGCACCAGAAAGCTAGACTTCTGACGAATTTCTTTGTGGTTCTCAAGCCCGGCCCTAGCCTAGGGCGATCGCACAGGGCCTCAAAAAATCGAGGGCACCAAAAAATTTAATTTCTATTATAATGTTATGTTAAGTAAGCGTATAAAAATATAAAATTGGATATTTGTCATACGATGTCATTTTGCAGTGGTGTTTCACTGCTTTCTTGCGATGGAAAGGAACACGGGTTCGAAACTCAAATATGCTTTTTTTTTTTTTTATGCATTTATTTCATCTTTGGTTTAAATAAGTAGCTATATTTCTATATGTGCCTTTGACGAAAGTGGTTTTTACAAATTCAATTTCAATTAATTACCACCCTTTGGCAAATAATAATAATAATAATAGTAGTCACCCAAGTGCAAAATGAGGACCCTTTTCTTTTGAGAACTTTAACTAAAAGCTCTCAGTACTGTTCACTTTAATGAAAACCCACATTTTTACACTAAAAAGTCAATCTTAGTTACAATTTCGTTAAAACTCAAAGTTTTCAAGCTCTTTTCGTTAATTTTCCTTTTTCTTTAGCAATGATGTTCTGTTTCAATATAATGTTAGGGTTTAGGGTTACTTTTCTTTCTTATCCAAGAAAAATGAGTTATACTTTTAATAACATATATGTGGTATTTGGTTTTTCAATAATTTTTTTTTTGGTTCATTCATTGTTTATAATATTATATATAAAAATTAGAGAGAGAAAAATATGACAATTCTTATGAAGCCCTAAGGGACAATAAATTAGAAAATTATCCAATAACTATAAGTTTTATACAAAAATACCTTTCATACCTTAGTTGATTTTTGCTTGTGAAATATTTGTGTAACCTTATCTAAATACAAACTAATATTATGGCTTAGATGTGAAATCTATTTTTTCTTCACTTATAAGTGAGAGATCTTAGGTTTGAGTCTTTTAAATGACAAGTTAGATACCAAATTATGGCCAACCCATCTTGTTGCTTAGCATAATCCCTCACATCCTGCTATCGTTTTATCAAAGAAAAGTTACATTGGCATGCACAAATGTGAACACTAAAACGATTGATTTTTTTTTTTCCTGACATGGAGTTATACTTGGGTACTTATTTTGGTATTGCCCCGGGCCTCAAAAATCTTAAGATCGGCTCTGGTGGTTCTCTTAGTAAGAAGGTTTGGGATTGTATAAGGAGAATTTGTTTTTTCTGTGTTCTAAATTCCATGCAGATGGATATATATATAAATATATATATAAAATTGATTTATGCCTGTTCGCAACAGGTATGAATATGAAATGTGTCTTTTGAGAGACATCTTCTCAGAATTGTGGTTTGCTCTTTGGCGTTCTTTCATCGCTTCGGACTTCATCTAAAAAGATGAGTCTGTTGATATAAAAATTAATTAATTAATTAAATCTAAAATTAATTAAAGATAATTAATTAAGGAATTTAATTATTAGAGCCTCAAAGCCCAAAACTCATCCTTTGATAATCAATTATATATTAAATATATATTAATTGGCATACCCCAAAAGCCCAAAACCCTAAGCCCAATTTTACCATCTAAGGTCCATCACTTCAATAATTTTCTAATAATGATAAAACCTTGTAAAGTGAGATAATTTTTTTGATAGTGACCAATGTGGGACAATGTTGAGTGATATTTCTACTCAAAAATTTGCAACATAGAAAAAGTAAAAAGGATGTGTTGTTATCATTTGTCATTTTTAGTCATTGCGAGATAAAAAGGAGTCGTTTGGTGTCTTGTTCTCATCTTGTGGAGTTATAAAGCAATTTAATAAATTTGTGTGAAGTTTGTGTTGTGTCTGAAAATGCTATCCTATTTTTGAATATGCAACATATATTTAGTTCATACATAAGTGTTTTTTTGAAATTTAAGTCGCTTGTCATAAGCCACTCTTATTGTTTGGTGTAAAAAATTAGTTTAATCTGGATAGTATATAAAGTTTGTGTGTTGAAGGTAAGGTGAATAATTTTTCAGTTTCAAAGGACCATAAGCATTTAGATTTGAAGGAAACTTATCTCTTCCAAAATTACCATATGGTAAAAATGAAATATTTAATATAGTGGGTTATTTAGTCTAATCCAACATGTCACCAAAACAGTCTTAATGTGCACTAACTTACATTGCAGGCAAAATCCAATAAGGGAACTGTTATTAGCACTTCAAAAATCTCATTCTACACTTCTCACTAGTGTATTTTTCTTTCTAATTATAGAAAGTTTGGAGTGCCAAATAAAATTTTTTGAGTGTTAATAATAATTTCCTAAAATAAAAAGGGATAGTATAAAAATCAGATGAAAAAACTGAAAATCTTATTATTAAAAAAAGTAATTTGAGCGGTGATGGTGAACATTCTATCAAATATGCAAAGGAAGATACTTTACTCTGTTAGAACTTGCCCCTTATAAAGCATGATGGAGATGTTTGAGATAATTTATTCCCTTCTTCCCTATTAGTGCAAAGGGAGGTTTTCACACTCTCGTATTTTTGGTGGGAATTAAATAAATCAAACAAAAATAATGAATAATTTAGTATGGATGTTTGAGAAACACGTGTTTATTTTCTAAAATTTTACAAGAACAGATTTTCTAAGTGTGTACTGTGTAAAAGGAAGATAGTTTGAAAGGATAATACTAGGGAGACCAAATTTTTTAAACCAAATTTGCAAACCAAAATGATGTGGTTGTAGATAATTAGATTATTACTTAAGTATAGATTAACATGTTTATTTCTTATTAGTGACACATAATTTAGTTTATAATTTAGGTTAAAAATTTTGGTCTCCCTGCATTACCTAATTTGGGACATATGGCCCCTTGGAGGAAGATCATACAATGAAGGCTTTTCTTTGCACAACAGAGGTCCAACCTGGAGCCTCCTACCCATCAAACACCACAAAATGCCTATCCTTCACACTATCCAAATGAAAGAGGAATGAATGGTTGTCCATCTCCGAAACTTTGAGAGAGCAGCATCTCCACTTTCTATTGCAAATCAAACCCCTCCAAAATTACAAACTCAAGAACAAGGATAACTAGAGAGAAACTAAAACTCATCAGACTGCATCACGTTTCTCATCCTAGTGGCCTCAGAATCTCTCTGATAGGATTTAATTAAACGGTAGGGGATTCAGTAGCCATGGCCTCATCCTCCTCCACACTTTCCATCTCCTCCTCATCCACTCTAGTTGACGCCAAGGCTCCTCGCCATTCGGCTGCCTCATCACCACAATGTGTGACCCTCCCTACGCTTCCTCCACCACCGGTTCAGTCTCAAAACCGTGCAGGGAAGACTACTGCCTATTGTGAGCCATTCATATATTATATCCCTAGTATTAGTTTGCATTATCATCAGTACTTTAGTAGTTATAAAGTACTAATATATGTATCGGACCAATCCAGACAGTTGGTAATAAGGCGAAATCTTATTTGAGCACATGTGCATTTCAGACTGACAGTTTGGTAACATATACTAGAATCTGTAACAAGAACATTACCGCGTAGCTATATACTTAATAATTTTTATTTCAGGTCGTAAGATTGCACGCAATGTCATGGCAATGGCGACAGGGGAAGCACCGGCAGAAGTTGCAACAACTGAGCTGCCAGAGATTGTGAAGACAGTTCAAGAAGCTGTGAGCCTATCATTACTTTTTAATATTAAGTTACATCAGCCTTTGTATTAGTGAGTTCAACAACTTATGTGACAAGAATGATTTGCTTTTGGTGTCTAGTGGGAGAAAGTGGAAGATAAATATGCAGTGTCTTCACTTGTAGTAGCTGGTGCTGTTGCAGTATGGGCCTCCAGTGGAATGATCTCGGTGCGGTTCCTCATCTTAGCACATTCTTATAGTTTCTCAATAAGAACCATAAATTGTTGTGCTCTTAAATGTGTAGAATTTAGTAACTTCTCATTATCAGTTATCCAATTACTGAAGGGTTTCTGTGCGACGGGTATTGTTTGTACCAGGCAATTGATAGGCTTCCTTTAGTCCCTGGTGTTCTTGAGCTTGTAGGAATTGGCTACACTGGGGTAAGTTAGTTTGTAATTTTGCTCTTGCATTCTCTTAGAAAATCTTCAACTTAACAGCGCCGGAAAAGAATTAGATTCATTACTTGTTGCAGTACATGAATAAGAACCATTTGATCAATATAGCACAACTTGATAGCCTGCACCTATTTCTAACTACTTGTCTTTCTTTTCGATATTGCAGTGGTTTGCATACAAGAACCTTGTTTTCAAACCAGACAGGTGAGTCTCAATTTTTCATTACCTTGACTGGAGAGTATAAATAAGTAGTTTCAGTTAATTTACTTGGTCTAAAAACTTTCCAAAAGATGTGCATAATAACATATTTTTGTTGACTTATGATGTCTAAAATTGCAGAGAAGCTTTGACACTGAAGATTAAAGCGACATACAAAGATATAATCGGCAGCAGCTAGAACAAACAGAAAAGTAATGCTGCTGAGGTGAGATGAATTGGTGGCCGGTTTTTGAAGCTTTATCTACATACGTAAATATTTCGCAGCATTGTCCGTAAAGATGTGAACATTCTTCATGTTGTTTGCATAAGCATATTCTGACCAAAGTTATAACTTAATGTCAAGTATGCAATTTGTCTGCGAGATACATGTAACTAGTACTACTATAATTTGTTTCCCTGTTAGCTCCTTGTACTTCATATCGCGATGCTTCTGATCTTTTATTGTAGAAAGAAATGATAAAAGTACACCAAGTACAATAATCTGCAGAATATGCAGTTCTGATCAAGAGTACCTGATGTTTTCCTAGTTAGAAACATTATCCAATCATGAAGTATCCACTACAAATATTTATCAAATTGAAGAAATTAAGTGTATATATAGAGTTGTTACGTTTAAAAAATAATGTTTGAGGAATTCAAAAATCACCTTCATAATAATTGCATCACCTTTTGGAACACTTTCAAACATCTCTCCTCCAACACATTCCACACCTGAAAAAATGAATTGGCTCCCAATTCATATGCTGCACAAATATATTGTGATTAAAATAAAGAAGAACAAAGACAGAATAAATTAATTCATAATTGTAATATTAAATTGTAAGTACCAGGATATGGAGAGACATGTTTGATGACCTGAGGCATATCGTAATTGATACCCTTAATATGAGGATATTTGGAAATGATTAGATTAAGAGTGTGACCCAAACCACCACCAACATCAATAAGTTTGTTAAGTTGCTCAAAACCCTTGTAGATTTGAAGAATCTTCTTGATAACAGTAATAGCGTAGTTGAACATTGCAGTGTGGAAAGCTTGATGAAACCTCGGGTCCGAATCTGTATGCTCAAAGAGGTGCGAGCCGTGGGCCCTTTTAAATGGCCTTCCCGCTTCAACACTTGCATTTTTCAGTTGGGACCTACAAATATAAATATATGAAATGTGAACCAATTAGTAGCTTTTAGATATCTATTGTTCAAATATATATGCATGAAATTGATACATTTGTTGACACTAAAAATTACATGAAAGTTCAATCTTTATGTTTTGAATCACAGTGGCACAATATATCATGTAAACATATTCGAATCAGTCAGAAATCTCTCTTGCAAAAAATTAAGGTGCGAGTTCATGAGTAAAAAAATTACACTAAAAATTACATGAAAGTTCAATCTTCATGTTTTAAGAAAAATATTTTGCCGATCATGCTCGCAGGCATAGGTGTTTCTGAGATATGATTATGAGCCGGATTTATTTTTATCCCAACACACATCTAGACATAGTTCAACAAAATAATAATAATAAAGCATTGCACAATTCATAACATGAACACTGAATCACATTTCAAATAAAGTTCAATCTTCATGTTTCGAATCATAGTGGCACAATATATCATTCAAACATATTCGAATTAGTCAGAAATCTCTCTTGCCAAAAATTAAGATGCGAGTCCATGATTAAAAAAATTCATGTAGTCTCATTGCAGATGCATTGTCTCTTCGATCCAAATTAAAGGTTTTGACTGCTGAAACAATAAATATAAAGTTTTCGCAGTTCATGGGGTTAAACCCCAAAGAAAACATATTCTGGCCACATTGAAGAGGGTAGAAGACTTTCGAATATTGAAGGGTGTGATGAGAGTAAAGACTTATCGTGTTTGCAGACAGAAGGGTCCATTCGAGGTAAGTGTTTTTAATTGATTATGAATTACATCAGTGCCTTTGTTATTGATGGGGCAAGAGGCCAGAATTACACTTCCATGAGGCAGGTGTTTACTTAAAGATCTCCATCACCCAAAAATTACAGACAAAACATTCATATTTAATGCCACTAAATCCTGCACCAGTTGCCAAAGCCATGAACTCTTCTCGGCTCCGCTCCTTTCCTCCCGGGTTTTGAGTCATCATAAGCACATCAATTTGGGAGGTGCTCTTCACGGCGGTGCTAGTCTCAGGCATAACTGGAAGAAGTGCTTCCAAAATAATCACTTTCCCATCGTCTGGAATAGCATTGTAACAATTTTTCAACAGCTTTAGGCATTGTTGGTCACTCCAATCATGAAGTATCCACTACATATTTATCAAAAGATACATTATAACCATTGTTCGCATGACCTCAAACTGAAAAGGAAAAAAAAAATAATGCTTGAGAAATTGAAAAATTACCTTCATAAAAATGGCATCCCCAGATGGAACACTTGCAAACATGTCTCCTCCAACATGTTTCACCCCTGCAAAATAAATTCACTCCTATTTTAAGTTGCACGGCTGGTATAAGATATAAAAAAAACTAATTAAGAAGGAAAATGATTTTCGCACGCCTATTTTCTTCTTTTGTACACCGCTGTTTATTTAGAGTCTCTTGATTCTGTATGTTTTATTCAATATGAAGCCTAAACATAAGTGCATAGTGAGAGGCAAAGGGTCGGTGTGTAGAAATCACTTTCCAACTAAGTATTATGAATCAAATTAATTTACCAGGATATGAAGGAGCATGTTTTACGACATGAGACAAGTCGTAATTGATACCCTTAATATGAGGATGTTTAGAAGTGATTAGACTAAGAGTGACTCCCAAACCACCACCAACGTCAACAAGTTGGGTAAGTTTCTCAAAACCCTTGTAGAGATGAAGAATCTTCTTCATGACAATAGTGGTGTGGTTAAACATTGCTGTGTTGAAAACTTGATTAAACCTGGCGTCTAAACCTGGATACTCAAAAGCATGCGTCCCATGGACCTTGTTAAATGGAATTCCTCCTTCAACAACTGCATCTTTCAGTTGGGACCTAGCAATGTCAATGTATACCACTCAAGTTAGAGTTAAAAAGATAAATTACTATTAATTAGGCTAATTAGAACAGAAAAAAGCTAGTGAGACACCAAAACTTTTTCACCAATGAGTCGTGACTGATGTGGAAATTTCTATAATTTGTTGTGAATAAATAAGTTGCAAGTGATTTCAGATATGAAACAAACGAAAATTTGCCAAATGAGTTTAAACTACTCGATTTAACAAGAGTTGGATCATTAGCCGGCTAAAAATGAGTGATGGACTAGAAGAGAAGGCAAACCCCTGGATAGCTATGCTTGCCGCATTATTTCTCGTATTTTTTTGTGCTGACAATTTTTTATTATTATTACTTTGTATTAAGTAGTTAGATTTTTTTGTTACCCAAAAAAGGAACGAAGTTCCATTAGAATTATTCAAAATAATAATTGATTTTCATTCTAAAAAGGTCGGAGACCAATACTCACATATATTTAATTAAAGACAAAAAAGGAACGAAGTTCTAATAGAGTTATTCAAAATAATAATTGATTTTCACTCTAAAAAGGTCGGAGACCAATACTCATATATATTTAATTAAAGACCAAGTTCTAATTAAACTAAATTTCAGGACCATTGCTTCCAATTATTTCTAATAATTTTACTAAAACAAAATATAAATGAACAAAAAGAAGAGAAGGGTTAAGACAGTGTTTAATTAATAAGCGCAAGAGAGTAAGTAGTACTAAACATACCAGCTGTCTAGGAAGACCTTGTCTTGAATCAATGCCATCAAGGGACCCAAAGAAACACTATCTTCATTAGTCACAAAGTAGTTGGACACAGGGCCAAGGCTGTAGAGCCTCTGAGAATCAGGCCCATCTTCTTCAATAGCAGCAGCAGAGCAGCTGAGAATAGAGTGACTGGCAAGGAGCCTTAGAATACGATCCAACATCATAGGTGCCTCAGAGTTCCTGGTGCCTCTGCCGATATGAGCTGCAATCTCTGATGAAGAGAGTTTGGCGCCAGGACTGGCTTTCGCTATGATGTCGAAAACGCCTAGCTCGATTGCTGATTGCATAGACATGGACAGAACAGAAGAAAACACCAGCTGCATGGCATAGCAGAAGTTTTCCTCTTCTTCCAGCTGCAGGGCCATTGGACAGTCTATATTTGAATTGTGATAATGCCACTTGAATGTGTTTACTTATCTTCTCTATATATAAAGCTACAACTTCCTTTTGGTTAATTCAAAAGTTTCGATAATACTTCACTAAAATATTAATATGTTAAATTTACATTTCTCACTGATGCGCACCATTGTGTGTGCACGTGCCTTCGAAAAATCCACACTCGGCTCACTGATGCGCACCACATTCCTAAACGCTACATAGCTACATCACGTGGGATCCAGCCGACAACTTTATTGGCCATCCAAACCAATGCCAACGGCTTGTTTTCATCCGACGGTCTTTGTCGGCCACCCAAACCAAGGCCAACGGCTAGGTTTCATCCTACGGTCTTTGTCGGCCACCCAAACCAAGGCCAACGACTAGTTTTTCATCCGACGTCCCATCTTATTGATCTAACGATGCAAATTCAAACTTTATTTTTTAAGTCTAATTTATGAATACATCAAATCTAACAATTGAGATCGAAAATGATTAAATCTAACAGTAAAAAATAAAAAATAAAAATCTAAACATCCAAAATTAAAATCAACCCAAAAACTCTATAAATATCTATGTACTTTGTGCACACAAAATTCACTTTTCTCATACAATTCTTCCATTTTTTTTCCTTTCTAACCACTTCCAAAACTATTTTTTTACCATTTTCAAATTTTTCAAGATGCAAAAGATCATATATATGTCACATCCCGGCTCGGGACGGATCACTTCCCGGGCCCGCTCCACCACCGTAGCACGATATTGTTCGCTTTGGGCCCCGACCACGCCCTCACGGTTTTGTTTCTGGGAACTCACACGAGAACTTCCCGATGGGTCACCCATCTTGGGAATGCTCTCGCGCGCTACTCGCTTAACTTCGGAGTTCCCATGGAACCCGAAGCCAGTGAGCACCCAAAAAGCCTCGTGCTAGGTAGGGATGGGAATATACATTTAAGGATCACTTCCCTGGGCGATGTGGGATGTCACAATCCACCCCCTTTAGGGGCCCGACGTCCTTGTCGACACATTTCCGGCCAGGGATAGGCTCTGATACCAATGTCACATCCCGGCCCGGGTGGGACCACTTCTCGGGCCCGCTCCACCACCGTAGCACGATATTGTCCGCTTTGGGCCCCGACCACGCCCTCACGGTTTGTTTCTGGGAACTCACACGAGAACTCCCAGGATGGGTGACCCATCGGGAAGTTCTCGTGTGAGTTCCCAGAAACAAAACCGTGAGGGCGTGGTCGGGGCCCAAAGCGGACAATATCGTGCTATGGTGGTGGAGCGGGCCGGGGAAGTGGTCCCACCCGGGCCGGGATGTGACATATATATATATATATATATTAGGGGACCTAATTGGTCAAATGATGAAGGTGGTGGTGGAGGCTTGGATGGGTTTGTTAGAAATGTTATTTATACGTGTTCCATGACTTTCGTAGGTGTAGAAAGGGTTCTCATGTTTATATAAAATATAAAGTAGATTGTTTCTTATTTTATCCGCAGCAAATCTGTACCATGATATAGACAAGATCTCATTAATAGAAAAAAGGCGATGTATATCATGGTGTCGGGGCCAGGTGCCAGTTCCACTTTGTCTTGGTAGAGTAAGGTTCCTCTCCGGATTCTCTTTGTGAGGATCCTAGAGATCTTCCAACCGTCGTCAATCGTGCGATTAATTTTTTCAAGTATTGTTTATATTCAATTTTAAATAAAAAAAATTTACAATGATTTCTGATCGCACGATATACGATGAACAGATACGATTGAAAGATTCCCGAAATCCTTTTAAAGAGGATCCAGAGAGGAACCTCATTCGTCTAGGTAGGTCATCAAAACATTTCCACAAGAAGAATTATGGCGCTTTAAACAACACTAGATAGGCATCAGCAAATTGAAAAGATGATCACATCTATAATTATAATTATAATTGATAAGAGTTCAAAGCTTGAATTAAAAGGCATCCAACACAAAATTTTGATGAGTAACTGTTGCCTTAAAAATTATTAAGCCTGTGTGGTGTACATGTCGAGTAACTAATGAGCTAACTATATTCTTCTAGTGAGGCGTGCCAACTCACGACCTAGACCCATCATCTGATCTGACCCCACAAATGAAGGTGTAAACATCATAACTCTAATCTCTTATGTAGTCAAACTATTTTGTTCACTCCGTTCTTGCCGAATCTTCAAGTAGCAAGCTCGGTCGACGAGGAGAATAAATGTGGTAATGGTGTCGATTGCGCCACTGACTTTTGTACTCAAGTGATCACGGTCTATGAAGGAAAACATTTTGGCCTTGGGTTCTAGAACTTGAAGATAAGGTCTCTAGTCATTGCGAAGTCTAGGATCTTTTGCACTAGGTTCGATTGCTTCAACTATATTTTTGAAAATATAGGTGCGTCGAATTGGGATCAAACTGTAAGGGCACAAATACTCAAAATAGATAAGTGTCTTGACTATGAATGCACCTGGGAATAACCAATCATAGACAAGCTTGACTTTCAATGTATCAAACACTACGTAACTTGGCAACACCTTACTTCCTGAGAAGCTAATGAGATGACCTCTTCCAACAAGAAATCCAAAGATTCCTCACTGACAGAGATTTGGATAGATAGCCAGCCGAACTTGAAGCAGTACTGTTACTCCAAACTGAAGATACTTCTCAATCGCCTGATTTTATGGCTCTAGCACTGTTAATCATTACTGAAGATGTCTCTGGTTGTCAATGCAATGATGTTATTCCAAACTGAAGGTTTGTTGATGGAGTTAGGGAAGTCAGTGGTTTCTTAGAGTATGAGAGATGTTCGTGTAGAGCAATATTTTGAGCAGGGCATTTGTGAGTTGAAGGTCTTTTTCACGTTGTCAACTCACTTCTATTTATATGGGCGAGTTTCCTGATAACTAAGTATGCTGCAATAAAGTCCCACTAGACCTATACTTCTTCAACGTCTCTCTGAATATCTCAACATTTTCCTATCACTAGCTAAACTAATCTACACGCGGCTTTGGCCAGTTCGACGAGAACTAGGACTCTGAACCTTTAGATACATTCCTTATCTTAATTAGCAACAAACTTTGATTCTTAGAGTGATTTGAATCTTATCAAACCCATCCTGATCCTATATAGTTTTACTTTAATTAGGACTAGGCCGAAACACTACTTCACCTAATCCGCCTTTTAAGAATCCTATTCTTGTTAGGACTTGGTCGCATCCATCGTGGGGTGGATACCATCTGGCCTGCAGGAATATATCATTGGGCCAAGAATTAAATCCTATTGTGAATTAACCATCTTCGGTCCAAATCTAATACTTAGACCCATACAGTACCACATAGGCATACAATTGTCACTTTGAAGAAAATAGTTGACAATATTAAGTGATGTGTGTTATTATGTGATGTGTTTGATTCAGTTACATGTGGCCTCATCTGGTGCATTGAGTTGTTAGCATAACTAAAAGTCGTTAAGTAATCTTTAATGGTTTGTTCATAAAAGTCTAGTGCATTGGGTTGTTAGTATAACTAGAAGATATTAAGTAGTTTGTTAGTATTAACTTAGCTATATTTTGCATAAATAGCTTATGAGCTATCTGTTGTAACTAAGAATAATTCAATCATTCTAGAAAAGCACGTTCATTCTTCTTTATTTTGCTCTTCTATTTTTTCTTTCTAGTTCATCATCTTTGTCAATTCTTCATTGTTCTTTGATTTTTCTCAATATAGTTAATATGGTATTAGAGCTTAATTAATACTAACATATTCCAAACATACTACTGAACAACTTCAATCTATATTAACAACCCAATCCACCATATGATGTCACATGTAGCTGAATCAAACACATCACATAACGAGGCTGAGACATGTCACTTAGGCCTCGTTTGGCACCTCGGACTATATTGACTATTTCTGTCGGATAGGATAAATAGCCACCGGATAGTAATGACTAAATTAATCGGACGTTTGGTGCAATATTAGATTAATAACCGTATTATTTATATTATGTTTGATATTATACCGGATAAAAGGAATTCAAAATATTAATATTTTAACATAAAAATTGATACTTTTATGTTTATTTTTCTTTTTCTAGGGTGTGGTTTCTTCACTTTGCAGAAAAGAAGCACTTTGCTTCTCCCATTCCCGAAGCAAAATGAAAGGTACTCTACAAAGGCCATCAACACCGAAGCCTCTCAAATCTCCACCTCTCTGTCATTTGAAGCACTTTGCTTCTCCCATTCGAGTTTTGTCAGTCCATCGTGATTGTCCTCTTTCCTCCGCTTACGCCGTTCGCGGTGATCAGAGAAGGAGGAGGAGGAGAAGTTGTAGGAGGGTAGAATTGAGGAGGAGGAGGAGGAGAAGTTGCAGGAAGGTGGAACGGAGAAGTTGCAGGAGGGTGGAACAGAGGAGGAGGAGGAGGAGGAGAAGTTGTAGGAGGCAGGAGGGCGGAACAGAGGAGGAGGAGGAGGAGGATGAGGAGAAGTTGCAGGAGGGCGGAACAGAGAAAGAGGAGGAGGAGGAGAAGAGCCTAGGATTTAGATTAGAGAGCAAGCGATGTGGGATGGAGAGAGCGAGAGAGGAGTGTTTCCATCCGACTAAATAATACCAAGGTTTTGGGTGGTATAACTAAGCAGGTATCAGCTGGATAAAGGAGGTGGGGTCAGATTATTTAATCCAAACGGACACCAAATATCGTACTCCATATTATTAGTACTATTCAGTGTCTTATCCGGTGTGCCAAAAAGTGCCTTAATAGACAAGCATTGGTTTACTTAAGGAATTCCATAACCCAACAAAACATCATAATTGATGCAACTAAATTGACGCACTTCGACAAGGATATTCAAATGGACATCGAAATTGAAGTATGTTGTCCGATACCTAGAGGTTGATGAAGCCATAACATGGAAGTAGTGTGTAAAAAGTACGAATAAATTAAAACCAAAGTCTAGACTTCAATTAAACTAAAAGTGAGAATACGCAATACGGGATAACCCTTATTACAAAAGCATGCAGTGTCAGATCATTGACAGAAGTGCAGTAATAGTAAGAATATTTCCATCTTGGGTAGGATGGATATTACACGACTAGTAGGAATTAAGTTCATACTTTGTCAGAAGTGGAGGTCATAATCTGCTATAATCCCTCGCTCGCCACAGAATCCAATTACTAAGTCTTAGAGCTTCCGTGAGAATGGTGGTGGACAGAATCCAATTACTAAGTTTTAGAGCCCCCGTGAGAAAGGCGGTGGACGAAGAGAGCTTGGCACCTCGACCCGCTTTCGCGATGATGTCGAAAACGCCAAGCTCGATTGCTGATTGAATAGACATTGGCAGCACAGATGAACCTACCAGCTGTATGGCAGCGCAGAAGCTTTCTTCTTCTTGCTTTCTATTATTTTCATCATCGTTAACAACAACAATTCTACCATGGCTTTCTTCTAGATCTAGTTCTCTATCCACTGAAGACTCCATCACCTGATGATCTGAAATACGTACCCCCGTCTATTCTCTTTAGTTTTTACCAGCAAAGGTGCCCGCGCAATGCTGTGGGGCGTATAAAACTTGCAAAAAGTTCCAAATATATGTACTTACAATCCAATTTACAAAAGGAACGAAATAAGTGACCAGGGATTGGCTTTACAGCACTATTTGTACACACATATACATACATACACACACACACACACACACACTAATCAATAATTCTGAACTTCCTTATTTACAACTATATTTACAACCTTACATACGTATGTGTGCGTGTGTGTGTGTGTGTGTGTATTCAGCACTTCCGAACTTCTTTAATCAACACTTCCGAGCTTTTTTTCTTTTCTTTCTCCTTGTATGTATTGCTTGTTTGTTACAAATTGAGAATGAAAAGTTATTAATGTAAATAAATGACAGTTTTAATGAAGATGAGAAAATGAAACTAGAATTATTGAAGGGAGAGCGATTTTTCTAATTGTCAAAAAAAGTCGAGTACTTTTTTCAATCCATTCTCAAGTGCATTTAATAAGATACTTTAAAAACAAACATTTGCATATAGGTTGCTGAGTGAAAGATAAAGGAAAAAAAAAAAGAGTAGGAATGTAATCATTCACGGAGGCTGCTAATCTCCACTCACCAAATCATCGCCAAATCATCAAATCATCTTTTTTAATTATCCACGTACGCAATAGAAGAACCATGTAAAATAGAAGAGAAAGAAAAACATTAGTGTCATTGTTGTATCAAAGTATGTTGATTGGATTATATTAAGAGAACTTTAACGAAAAGCTCCCGGTACTGTTTACTTTAATGAAAAAACATATTTTTACATTCAAAAGTCAATCATGGTACTATTCATTTTACTCTTTATTTTGTCCTTATCGTTAAAACTCAAAGTTTTCAAACCATTTTTATTAATTTTTCTTTAAATATTAAAGATTAATATAATTAAGAAACAAATTTAATCATCATGACTGAATCTATTGCCTCAAATAAAGCTCACTTCTTAGACATTTCAATGTTGAATCATTTTCACAGAAAAGAGAACTTTGGATCTTACTCAAAAAAATCTTCATATATGAATGCAAGTTGCGCAAACAATGAAACTTAAACCTCAAAACTTTTAAGCCAAAAACAGATCCACTCTATTTCCAGGGACCCCAAAAAAGAAAAAAAAGAAAAGAAAGTGCAAGCACAAATCTTGTGACAGTATACAAAAAATCACTGAAACCTGAAATCCCCAATACATACACAAAAAATTTCACCAATTCTTTGACTTTACATACAAATCAAAGCAAAGAAAACAAACTCATTTGAAGAAATGACCAAAAAAAAAATCCCAGATTTTAAAAATTATAAAAATAATCAAATAATCAAAATCCAAGAGGCAGCATTAATCAAGGATAATAAAAAGGTAGATTATTTATTATATGGGATTTCCGGGGATTGACGTACCGGAAGTGCCATGTGGAGCCTGCGGTTGGTTTGCCGCCATGAATCTCAAGTAAAGGTCTTCAAATAGTGCTAAACCAATGCAAATAATAATCCAGAAATATAAGATAAAAACGATATTGCAAGGAGCTGAAAGATCATCATACCTCAGAGAAGCAAAGAATGCGTTTTGAACGAAAGATTTACAACTAAAAGAAAGGTTTCAAAGCAACAAAATTCAATAGAGACCTTAACCAGGATGCGGGGAAACAATTTAGGTGCTCATACGAACTGGCTCGAACTACGGAAAAAAGCTACAAAGTTCATTTTTGCAGTAAATTATAGAATCTAAAATCAATTGATAAAAAAATAATTTAGCTTTGCAGTAAATTACGAAATCTGAAAACACAAACCAATTTAATAGAGTTCAAAGTTTCAGTAAATCATAAAATATAAACGGAAAACCAACTAAAAAGGTTCAGCTTTGCAGTAAATTATGGATTCTAATACAAAAACCAAGAAAATTCAAGACCAATTAACCATTCATCTTACAGAAAACTATGGATTGCCGCGAACAAAACCCAATTAAAAAAAAATAAAATAAAATCACTTTTGCAGTACTCTTCGAATCAAACAAAACCCATTAGAAAAAAAAAAAAAATCACTTATGCATTGATTATTAATCAAATTCTAATTTAAGCAAAATTAAGCATTGCAATAAATGAATCATCTAAAACAAAAAACCAAAAAAAAAAAAAAAAAAAAAAAAAAACCTAATTGTCAAATTACCTGACAGAGGCAAAGAAGGCAGAGATTGGCATCGAGACTTTAGGTTTGGAAAAAAACCTAAAACAACCAAATCACCTAGTCATTCAATCGAAATTAATCAAATCCCAAGTGTCGGTTCCATCAATAAAGAGACAGAGATACAGATAATGATAGAACCATAATACCATATCATGACTCATTGTGTTAGGACTTAGGACCATATCATAGTATGGGCCCTGCTACTTTATATTTATTGGAAAATGATCATCGCTGTCGGATTTTTTTTTTGGGAATTCTAAAGATTTCGCAATTATGGTCGTTCACTATATATCATGCAATCAATTTTCGTTAGATACTATTTATATTTAATTTTAAAATTTAAAATAATTTCTAACCGCATGATTTACCATAAATAATTACGATCATGGAGTCTTTAGGATCTCCAAGAAAAAGATCCGACAAGGATCCTTTTTCATATTTATCATCCTTTATGATATTTGTAATGGTTGTTGGTTAGTGCCTCAGCACTTGCGCTCTTTTGCCTGTTTTTGGCTAATGGAGATATAAGTCTGCAGTGTATCTCATTTTGGGTTATGAAATGAATTAGAGTAAATTACAATTTATCCTCCTCAAGTTTGGAAGCAATTGCAACCTCATATAATTAGAGATGAGCAAAATTCCCGCGCTTATAGGTAACCACGGTTAACTGCTCATTTAAACTTCACGGTTACGATTATGGGTAACCGTTTAGATAAATAAACAATTACGGGTATAACCGTTTACTCGTGAAATTTAAATAGGTGATTATGGGTATTAATTGCGGTTGTAAACAGATAACCGTTCACCCGTTTATTTTATTTATGTAAAATTAACACAAACCATGTTCTCTATCGGACAAAATTTAGATCAATGCTATTGACTATAGTGCATGGTTTCTGTAGCTAATTATAATATAATGTAGCTCATTATATATATTATGTTAATACTTTATATTCTGGGTTAAATAACCCAAAAATATTGTCTTCTAAACAAGTTTCGTAACCCAAGAATACTTAACAAATATTATATTACCTTCATTGGTAATAGTTAAAAATATCTTCCGTAAACTATTATTTCAATTATTGGAATGGTATAAGGACTTAAAAAATTAAAATACGGAAATGTATGAAGAATGTACCTATACCGATGTTTAATTGTCAAAAAAAAAAATTATGACAATTTTTTTTAAAATTTTCAAGTTGTTAAAAAACATGTAGACTGGTGAAAAAGGGGGTAAATGGTAAAAAAAAAAAAAAAAAAAAGAAGATACAAGGTTTAAAAAAGGGTAAATGGGTAAATGAGTATTAAACGGTTACGATTAAATGAGTACATGGTTATGAGTATGGTTAATCATTTATAAACGGTTATGGGTATATGTATCATCATTTAGGCAATTACCCAACAGGTAAACGGTTATGTGGGTATGAGCATAAACAACTATGGGTAAATAACTGCGGTTACCTGCCTGCCATAATCGTTGCCTATTCCTATATACAACATTTGTAAAACATTTCAATCTTATACATTTATTTATCATTTGTTTAAATTTCATACATTTGTTATAAAATTTGTTAGTTTGACCGTTAAGTGATGATGTGTCAAATATGAAATTTTTAATGATGTGGCAAATAAAAAAAACTAATTATTAAAGAAAATTAATTTAAAAAGTAAAAAAGGGTTACCCTTCATCTCCGTGGACCTCCACCACGTCCCTCCGCTTCCTTCCTTTATCCGACTCAGCTGCAGGAATTGATTATACATCCAGCACCCCCATTTCTGTACATATCAACCCAGCAAATCAACTAAACAAATCCAATGAACATTCTTTCTTCAATTTCAAGTCAAAAACAAAAGCCGTAGTAATTGAAATCAAAAGCAAATCAAGATAGATTATACAATGTCATTGACCCTGATCTAGCACAATAGAAAAAAATTGCAGGGAGAGAGAGGGAGAGAGATGAGAGAGAAAGGAGGAGGGAGGGAGAGTTTGGGTCCTGGGTCGCGGAGGGCACGAGGCCCTTGATCTGGTCCTTCTCGGAAAACGAACCCACGGTGAAAAACGACAAAATCCACGGATTAGAACAATGGATAAACCACACTAAATAAGGAGAAGTATAAGAGATGAAGAACCGATAAACAAACAATAACAAACAAAAGCGGATTGAACCTAGAGGCATTGAACTCAATTTAATACCATGTTACAAAATGAAGGACGAGGAAAGAAGAAAACAGATTCCAAACTATAATTATTATTACAGTGACTAAAATAAAAAAGAAGACTACAAATTGCGAAATGATTACATCTTTCAAACTTAATTCTTTTACTAAGTTATAAGGTGTATTCATATAAAAACACCTAATTCCTATTGCATCAGATACATATGTACCACAATGTGTGACCCTCCCTACGCTTCCTCCACCACCGGTTCAGTCTCAAAACCGTGCAGGGAAGACCACTGCATATTGTGAGCCATTCATATATTATATCCCTAGTATTAGTTTGCATTATACTCAGTACTTTAGTAGTTATAAAGTACTAATATCTGTATCGGACCAATCCAGACAGTTGGTAATAAGGCGAAATCTTATTTGAGCACATGTGCATTTCAGACTGACAGTTTGGTAACATATACTAGAATCTGTAACAAGAACATTACTGTGTAGCTATATACTTAATAATTTTTATTTCAGGTAGTAAGATTGCGCGCAATGTCATGGCAATGGCGACAGGGGAAGCACCGGCATTAAAAATTACATGAAAGTTCAATCTTCATGTTTCGAATCACAGTGGCACAATATATCATGCAAACATATTCGAATCAGTCAGAAATCTCTCTTGCAAAAAATTAAGGTACGAGTCCATGACTAAAAACATTACAAAAAATTACACTAAAAATTACATGAAAGTTCAATCTTCATGTTTTAAGAAAAATATTTTGCCGATCATGCTCGCATGCATAGGTGTTTCGGAGATATGATTATGAGCTTGATTTATTTTTATCCCAACACACATCTAGACATAGTCCAACAAAATAATAATAAAGCATTGCACAATTCATAACATGAACATTGAATCACATTTCAAATAAAGTTCAATCTTCATGTTTCGAATCATAGTGGCACAATATATCATGCAAACATATTCGAAACAGTCAGAATTCTCTCTTGTCAAAAATTAAGGTGCGAGTCCAGGACTAAAAAAATTCATGTAGTCTCATCGCATATGATAGTCTTGAGGTAAAGATTAAGATGCATTGTCTCTTCGACCCAAATTAAAGGTTTTGACTGCTGAAACAATACATACAAAGTTTTCGCAGTTCATGGGGTTAAACCCCAAAGAAAACATATTCTGGCCACATTGAAGAGAGTAGAAGACTTTCGAATATTGAAGGGTGTGATGAGTGTAAAGACTTATCGTGTTTGCAGACAGAGGTTCCATTCAAGGTAAGTGTTTTTAGTTTATTATGAATTACATCAGTGCCTTTGTTATCGATGGGGCAAGAGGCCAGAATTACACTTCCATGAGGCAGTTGTTTACTTAAAGATCTCCATCACCCAAAAATTACAGACAAAACATTCATATTTAATGCCACTAAATCCTGCACCAGTTGCCAAAGCCATGAACTCTTCTCGGCTCCGCTCCTTTCCTCCCGGGTTTTGAGTCATCATAAGCACATCAATTTGGGAGGTGCTCTTCACGGCGGTGCTAGTCTCAGGCATCACTGGCAGAAGTGCTTCCACGATAATCACTTTCCCATCGTCTGGAATAGCATTGTAACAATTTTTCAACAGCTTTAGGCAATGTTGGTCACTCCAATCATGAAGTATCCACTACATATTTATCAAAAGATACATTATAACCATTGTTCGCATGACCTCAAACTGAAAAGGAAAAAAAAATAATGCTTGAGAAATTGAAAAATTACCTTCATAAAAATGGCATCCCCAGATGGAACACTTGCAAACATGTCTCCTCCAACATGTTTCACCCCTGCAAAATAAATTCACTCCTATTTTAAGTTGCACGGCTGGTATAAGATATAAAAAAAAACTAATTAAGAAGGAAAATGATTTTCGCACGCCTATTTTCTTCTTTTGTACACCGCTGTTTATTTAGAGTCTCTTGATTCTGTATGTTTTATTCAATATGAAGCCTAAACATAAGTGCATAGTGAGAGGCAAAGGGTCGGTGTGTAGAAATCACTTTCCAACTAAGTATTATGAATCAAATTAATTTACCAGGATATGAAGGAGCATGTTTTACGACATGAGGCAAGTCGTAATTGATACCCTTAATATGAGGATGTTTAGAAGTGATTAGACTAAGAGTGACTCCCAAACCACCACCAACGTCAACAAGTTGGGTAAGTTTCTCAAAACCCTTGTAGAGATGAAGAATCTTCTTCATGACAATAGTGGTGTGGTTAAACATTGCTGTGTTGAAAACTTGATTAAACCTGGCGTCTAAACCTGGATACTCAAAAGCATGCTTTCCATGGACCTTGTTAAATGGAATTCCTCCTTCAACAACTGCATCTTTCAGTTGGGACCTAGCAATGTCAATGTATACCACTCAAGTTAGAGTTAAAAAGATAAATTACTATTAATTAGGCTAATTAGAACAGAAAAAAGCTAGAGAGACACCAAAACTTTTTCACCAATGAGTCGTGACTGATGTGGAAATTTCTATAATTTGTTGTGAATAAATAAGTTACAAGTGATTTCAGATATGAAACAAACGAAAATTTGCCAAATGAGTTTAAACTACTCGATTTAACAAGAGTTGGATCATTAGCCGGCTAAAAATGAGTGATGGACTAGAAGAGAAGGCAAACCCCTGGATAGCTTGCCGGCATTATTTCTCGTATTTTTTTTTGCTGACAATTTATTTATTTATTATTACTTTGTATTAAGTAGTTAGATTTTTTTGTTACCCAATGTTGATGCACAAAATCGGCGAGGATTTTGGTACAACAGAAAGTGTCAAGTTTGTGACCTTCGCTAGATTGCTCTGGTCAGCAGTGTGGATAAGTATGTAAATGAATAGAGACAGGGAAGCAAATAACACAAGATGTACGTGGTTCACCCAGATTGGCTACGTCCACGGAGTAGAGAAGTTCTCATTAGTTGTGAAGGGT